TTTCAGATAGAATTAATGTGACACTGACTCAGAATATGATGCAGCTGCTGTGATTTGGTAACATTTGCGACAAAGGTTATTCTGTACTCCTAAAAGGAAGCTATGTTGCATTTGAGTTCATCCCATATTGTCTAGCAGGGGTTTTTCAAACTGAGTGGCACAGGAGAGTTGAAGGGGGTGAGAGGCAAAGATACTGCGTGAGATGAAAGGCAATTATTAAATAGCTTACCGCCATATATCACCGCAATTTGCATAATAATTTGCGCTCCTTCTCTGCATTCATAAGTCAATCAAATCTAAACACATAGACATGATACACATATTTTTAGATTTCTATTGCAAATAAACATCAGAAATCAGAGAAAATATAGGTTCCTTATAACTTCAGAACTTCACGAACATTACAAAGAAGAATCATCACAGTTTCAGGGGTTAGTTAATGAGTTATGGTACATTGCAATTTGGCATATTTTTAATGGTGCCATTTTGCCAAAATGTACACAGAAATTGGCTGAAAAACACTCCATGGCAACATTATACTTCCTAAGTCCCCCTACCACAAACACATAAACAGCAGCTCCTGATGTGGTGATGTAATCCCATCCATGTAATGTATTGTATTGCTGAGCTGTATTTTTATTTGCATAAAATCCATAAAATGTCAATTATACATATAAACGTAGTTACAAGACATTTCTAACATGCTGTAGACTGCATTACATTCTCTCCTCCTACAGTATACTGACGTGTAAATAAACTGCATTCTTCTCAAATACCATAGCCAGTGAGTCACTGCTTTTACAGGATCTGTCACTACTCTCCTTGGCAATGAGGACAGGCTTTTCCCCCACTGCCTTTACTGTCTAAAAACAATAGTCACTGTCATCAGTTTGACGCCAATAATAATTAAGCTCCTGTATCAGCAGAAACTGACACAGAAACTGTTTATGTCACAGAAAAATGATACCGCAGCAACTGAACATTACAATTCTCCCCTCTGATGGATTGCTGAACTTTTAAAATAAGACAACAATGTCAAAATGAAAATTACTTTTAAACAGCAGTGTACTGGGTCACAAGAAGCTACTGCAACAGCTTCTACCCTCCTTTATATATATATATCATCTATACAACATGTGAACTTGTATAGTACCTGATCATTTACAGTTAAAAATCCTATCAAGGTGAAAATTCATTATAGAAATATGAGTAAGAAATCTGAGGCTACAAAAACCATTTGTATATTCTAGCAAACAAGCAGACAGACATGCAGGCAATCTCTGTACTCTCTGTACGGAGGACTTTATCTCCATTCTCCACTGTGATCATATTGGTCTTTTGGGCCTAAGTATCTCCTCTGCTGAAGCGTAACGGCCAAAACAGCAGTTCCCTGTCAGATTAGGACATCACTGTCAGACGGTCCCAGCTACGCTCTGACAGACCTATTAGCAGGACGCATGTCATTGTGAGGCTTTGCACAGCCGACAGAATGTAAAATCAAGGGGTGTGTCTTGCTGCATTTCTTCTTTAGTAGCAGTACACATGTAGCACCAGTATTTTCTGTGCAGATTATTAGTATTTCTGAAAAGTATTCACACTATTTGGTTGCTTTACACATTGTGAAATCATTGTGAATGCAGACACCAGGATGCGGCACCTGTGGGTGTCATTGTTTGGTTCAAGTGTTAAAGCTTTCACTGGAATTCTTGAGACACTAAAAGAACAATTCAAGACAAAGTGCAATGATGGCCTTATAAACTATATATAATCTATATAAACAATAGCTGAAATGTTATTCAGTTGCTAATTATTGGCCGAGTTGCCTTAGAAGCAGTCTGGCTTGGTGGGAGTTTGCTTGTCATTCTGCCTTGGTGGTGACTGGCCAGTAGCCAAAGGCTGATTCAAAATTTAGAATTACTGTCAGCAATCTTTGATCACTTGGCACAAAAAGACTTTACTGAACTGTTTCAGAGGCAAATTTTATGTGTCCCTTCATTTTAGCATTTAATCTTTTTCCAGCTCTCCAATACTTAGTTAAATTCCCAAGAGCAACTCTCTAGTGGGCATTAAACTTTCCATGCTTGTAACAAAAATATAAGTAAATTGCACTCAATTAAAATGTCAGGACAGAGTATGTGTGTGGGATATATATATATATATGATATATTTATTTGATGGCAGCCAGATTTATCAAATCTTTATTTGATTTATCATTGACTTTTTAAGAGAGAATAAAATACTTTAAAGATGACTTTATCGGCTGTTTACTGTTAAAAAATTATATTAGTTTGTGCTACAATGTAAAGAAACAGATTTTAATAGTGATTAATTTAACTTTAATGAATGGTTCCCACTTATTCAACCAATGGAAGGCACACAAATGGATCCTTGTCTCATAAATCATAGACAAATGCAAGTAAACACTGTTCAAAATGTTATTCCATAATCCATAAAAATGGGTAATTCCTTTTTAGTGAAACCCTTAGTGGGGTAAAACCTATAGCTCTGTCAGCCATCAGTGCGGCAGTGCACACAGCAGCAGGGGACTGTAGTCGAGTGCAGAGGAAGCTGGAGTTCCTCCTCGTCACAGTGAGGGGAGACGGTTGCTGTGTGGATTCTGCAATTTCCCCTAACTCCTGCTCTCTGCAGACAGCTGATGTTTATCTGCTCTGCCCATCTGGGCCTTGTGACTAAACATCTGGTAAAGCTGCCACTGTGCATACAACGTTTCACACAGTGGTGACAGTGAAGGGGCACTGCTGTCCACCCCTTCCAAAAAGATCTTGAGAGGCAGGGAGGACTTCATCTCTGAGATGTCAAGGCTTATTCTTAAAATCTGACTCAATTACCAGAGTGCTGTCCAGCAGTCCAGACGGTGCACTGTAATTATCCGAATTGTGTCTTTAATAGTTTGTGATCACAATGAAGGATAAGCTCATTATCATCTATACAACATAGACCATTTTCCTTCAACATTTTGCTTTTGTAAAAAAATATGGTTAATAGTGGTTAAAAAGCAAATGTCGCTCCATCATCATTATCCAGGCACACCTTTCAGCATGTGCAGCAGTTTTCCTTTCTGTCTGTTTTCAAATGTTGTACAAAAGGCCAAGCCTTTGTAGCTACCCTGTCCTCTTTCTTCTCCTAGGCTTTTCCCTTGCACGAGATGTTTTGCAGTGACTGGTAGACCTTCATCCATTATGGATGGTGTGTTTTAGGAGGATGATCCGTGCAGGATGATATAAATATCTCCTTTTGGTTCCCATCAGGATGGGAAATGAAGCACAAGACAGGCCACTGTGTAGTGTTGGAGCAGGGAATCTTTATTATTTGATTTGATGTCCAAAGTAAAAAAAAAGCAACGATGCACAAGTGACTAGCAGACAGCTGTCTTTAATTCATGAGTTGTGGCAATTCCCTTGACGCCTCCACTTCAATGAGATAGTTCTACAAATCTGTAATGGCTCCTTCGGCAAATGTGTTGCAAAAAAGAGCAATTACTGCCAGCCACTGCACTTCCATCCATAATAAAATAATTGCAAAATATCACTGCTCCACAGTGATGGGTGTGACAGCTGCTTCGATGTAGCACAACTTTCTGATCCTGAACGAGTCTTTGCCCTTTGTGTCCTCGCTTACAGGCTAAACCACGGCGGGAGGCTGTATGGTAACATACAAAAGCAGCATGAAGTAAAGCCTGACCAATATATGTGTGTGATGGTCAATTAAGAGAGAGAGAGAGAGAGCTGCAGGCCTCTCCCACTGTTTCCAGAGTCACTGTTATACTAGTCTGGCACTGTGGAGGAAGTCAGCCTACTGTTGAGAGCACGTACACACACATATAGTATCCAGTATCACTGTTGATACAACAACAAAGACAGACAAGGGATGAGATGTGCAGATATGTTCATAACTCGAGGAAAAATGTTTCCTTGATTATCAGAATCCCATGTTCTTAATTTAGCTCTATATTTCATAACCTTTTGGTAAAACACTCTGGAGAGGATCTACATGAGCAGAGCAGTGTGCGGTTATGAAGTCTATGGAATGGTGCCAAGCAGCAGCGAATCAGTTATGCTCAAGGCACACAGAAATAATTCATTGCAGTGCTCTGAAAGCAGTTGAGGCATGGGTGCAACACAGAACAGATTTCCTGTGTGGAGAGCTGGGTCCAGGTATTATCTCTGCTTGAATTTTGAGATTCAAACTAGTTTGGGAACTCTGACTGTCCAATGAATGCAAATATTCTGTGTGCAGTTCTAAATATGTCAGTTAAAATATCAAGAGCATGACATAGCATCTACCATCCACTGACTTAAGTAGGGCTCGGTGGGAGATTACACAACAAAGACAAAACCTTGACTGTGTGGGAGACTAATACAAGGCAAACTCCCTGCATAAACACATTGATTGTTGATAAGATCAGTGCAATTCCATTTAATCTTTTACTTCCCTTTTTTTGTAGAAAATAAAGAGTTGCTCTTTCTGTTGTTTCCTTGGTGTCTAACACCTCTCCTCTCTCTTTGCAGGAGCCTGCTGTAGAACCCACTGGGTCCTCTTGTGGCTTCCTGCCTGCTTGAAGGACCAAGAGGAGAGCTAAATGCACCCAAGTGATTCTGGAGAAGCAGAGAAGAGAGGCTAACTTCACACCTTTGTTCTTGCCTTATGAGAACGCTCACTGTGGACTCTCGGCTCAACTCACCCTGTACTGTTTAGTTACTGCATGTAGCCAGCACTCTCAGGTGCAGAAAAAGAGTGAAACACAAAGGGGAAAGAAGAAAGAGTAAGCGATAAAGAGAGAGAGGCTGCATAATTAGTAATAACGAGTTTGTGTCAGAGCTAGAAACCATGAGAAGAGGCTTCTGAAGACAACCGTTCTCTGAAAAATACTGCGGCTTACCTTCAGGACATTTGTATGTGTGTGTGGGTATATGTGTGCACACCTCTTTCATTTTCAAAGGACTTGAATTTGTATTTGGATGCGGATTTAGCCTTTCATTATGACTCTGCGAGGAGGCTTTGAGAAAGCGTGGATTGGCTGCCACAGAAATGTCTGCTGCTGGGTGTTGCTGCTGGCTTGTTATTTCTTGATCGCCTTGGCAGCCAAACCCAAAATGCCAGGCCACACACACCTCAATTCAATACGCATTGATGGCGACATTTCTCTGGGTGGACTGTTCCCAGTGCATGCAAGGGGAAACGATGGCAAAGCTTGTGGAGAGCTCAAGAAGGAGAAAGGGATCCATAGGTTGGAGGCCATGTTATTTGCCCTGGATCGTATCAATAATGACAATGAGCTGCTGCCTAATATCACTCTGGGGGCACGTATCCTGGACACATGCTCCCGGGACACCCATGCTCTGGAACAGTCGCTGACATTTGTTCAGGCACTGATTGAGAAAGATTCAACTGATGTCAAGTGTCTCAGCGGAGGGCCGCCCATCATCACTAAGCCTGAGAGAGTGGTGGGAGTGATTGGTGCATCTGCCAGCTCCGTGTCAATCATGGTAGCCAACATATTGCGTCTCTTCAAGGTCAGTTTCTCCCACAGAATCTACTCCTTACTTTACTTTTCTTCAACAGCTTTCTGATCATGGTTGCAGAGCACAGATATATCATAGAATTCCCCTGAGCATTATCCCAACAGGTTTTTCGGAGATCAGACTTTCAGTTCAAAACAGTGTAAACAAAAGGCAAACTTTGAATGGTAATCTTACACCATGTCAATATCACCACACTGTAAATAAAGTTCACTTAAAGGAATACACATGGACACACAAACACACACACAAACACAGTCAGTTTCATTTGACATTTCCCAGTTTGTGCTCTCATTGCCTTTCCTCTGACCTTTTTATTTTCCTCAGAAACTTGAATCACATTTATTTCAAACATTGTCCAGAAAACTAGGCGCTGATCATTACACCATAATTCTCCTCACTAATGACACTAATTTGCCAAGAGTCCTTAGTGTTGCCTTCTTCTAATTAATTTGGGGAAGCCATGCATGGCACCATGAGCACATTGCACTGCTACTGAATATAGTGCATAAAATGAGCTTCTGCGTTGTGTTGGCTCACAAGATGCAAATATGATGTGAAAATGAGAGCAAACCATAAACAATATATGACAGGACTTTTATGGTACCTGCTCAGAGCTGTCAAACCAATCTACAGGCCACAACCAAACTAATGAGCGCAAGGACTGTGTCAAAACAGTGTCGTTTTTTCATAATATCCCGATATTCATGCCAAACCTGCTGCAGTAGGAACACAGTGATTATTTACTATAACCCTCACTCTATGAACACAGGTGAATACCTCTTATGGGCGCTTTAGGCTTGACAAACGTGTTTTAAGGAATCAACTAACAAAAAATGTGCATGTATGTGCCAAGTCAATCAGTATGAATCAATTTAATACTATGGGGGCTCGGCATAAAGTATATAATGGCCTTACTGTCCTTTTTCCGCCTCAATTTAGCTTTAAGTGACTAATGAAGTGGCAGAGAACATGACAAGCGCTTCCATTCTTGTTCCGGTATTAAGAAATACAATATGTAGCTGTTCTATTCACAAAGGGTTCATCTTTTAAAAGGGCCCTACAGAAGATGAGGCCTGAATCACCAGCTGTGACATTGATTCAACAATGTGTCACCTGTCTGTCGCCATTCTGGAGCCAGCTAACTGCTCAGCAGAGGGCAAAATGGTGAATAGTGCAATACCCCACTTCACAAGCCTGACTGACATGTCACAAGTCAGCCAGAATAAGGCTGCACACCTACATCCTTGCTGCTTTTTTAGAAAATGGTGGATGAACTACCTGGTATAAGGCTGGTATCACTATCCAGCCATCACAAGCCCCCGTCTTCTACATCCACAAGTGCAGACCTGTCACAAAAACTGTAGGTTATTTCTTATTATTCTTACCGCTGAGCAAAAAGGAGTTTGGTGACATAGCTCACACAGGTACCGTCTCATTCAATATCATCCAACTGCAGCC